TGGGAAATAAGGCCGGGCAGGTGACTGAGGTGTCAGTGGGAAAGCACTGTGGGACCAGTGATCATAGTTCTATCAGTTTTAAAATAGTGATGGAAAAGGGTAGACCGGAGCTAAAAGTTAAAGTTCTAAATTGGAGAAAGTCCAATTTTGACAGTATCAGGCCAGAACTTTCAAAAATTGATTGAGGGCAGAAATTTGCAAGTAAAGGGATACCTGGAAAACGGGAAGCCTTCAAAACCATGGGATAACGAGAGTCCAGGGACAGTATGTTCCTGTTAGGGTGAAGAGCAAGGTTATTAGGTATAGGGAATGCCAAATGGTTAGAGAAATTGAGGTTTTGGTCAAGAAAAAGAAGGAAGCATATGTCACGTATAGACAGCAGGTATCAAGTGAATCCCAAAAAGAGTATAAAGGCAGTAGAAATATACTTAAGAAGTGGGAAAGCAGGAGAGCAAGAAGGGGACATGAGATAGCTTTGGTACATAGGGTTAAGGAGAATCTAGAGGGTTTCTATAAATCCATAAAAAGGGCAAAAAGTAACTAGGGAGATGATGAGGCCCCTTACAGATCAGCAAGGCTGCCTATGTGTGTGGAAATGCAGGTGATGGGGGAGATAATAAACAAGTATCTTGCATCAGCCTTTAATGTGGAGAAGGATACAGAAGCTAGAGAACTTGGGGAAATAAATAGCGAAATCTTGAAAAACATCCATATTGCAGAGGAGGTGGTGCTAGATGTCTTAAAATGCATAAAGATGGATAAATCCCCGGGATCAAGGTGGAGCAGTGGATGTGATCTATATGGACTTCAGTAAGCATTCGATAAGGTTCCGCATGGTGGACTGGTTAGCAAGGTTAGATCACATGGAATTTAGGGAGAACTAGCTATTTAAATACAGAACTGGCTTGAAGGTAGGAGACAGATGGTGGTGGTAGAGGGTTGCTTTTCAGACTGGAAGCCTGTGACCAGCAGTGTGCCATAAGGATTGATGCTGGGTCCACTGCTTTTCATTAATTAAATGAATGATTTGTATGTGAACGTAGGAGGTATAGTTAGTAAGTTTGCAGATAATGCCAAAATTGGTGGCATAGTGGACAGCAAAGAAGGGTACTTCAGAGTACAATGGGATCTTGATCAAATGGGCCAATGGGCCAAGGAGTGGCAGAAGAGGGCCGTCCACTTTCCCAAGGACTTGTAGAGGAGATTTTGACTCCAATCTTAGTGTCATCTGCAAACTTGCTAATCAGACCATCTATACCTTCTTCCAGGTCATTTATGTATATCACAAACAACAGTGGTCCCAACATGGATCCCTGTGGAACACCACTGGTCACAGTTCTCCATTTTGAGAAACTCCCTTCCATTACAACTCTGTCTCCTGTTGTCCAGCCAGTTCTCTATCCATCTAGCTAGTACACCCATGCGACTTCACTTTCTCCATCAGCCTACCATGGGGAACCTTATCAAACGCCTTACTGAAGTCCATGTATATGACTTCTACAGCCCTTCCCTCATCTATCAACTTTGTCACTTCCTCAAAGAATTCTATCAAATTGGTAAGACATGACCTTCCCTGCACAAAACCATGCTGCCTATCACTAATAAGACCATTTCCTTCCAAATGTAAATAGATCCTATCCCTCAGTATCTTCTCCAGCAGCCTCCCCACCATGACATCAGGCTCAGCAGTCTATAATTACCTGGATTATCCTTGCTACCCTTCTTAAACAAGGGGACAACATTACCAATTCTCCAGTCCTCTGGGACCTCACCCGTGCTCAAGGATGCTGCAAAGATATCTGTTAAGGCCCCAGCTATTTCCTCTCTCGCTTCCCTCAGTAACCTGGGATAGATCCCATCCAGACCTGGGGACTTGTCCACCCTAATGCCTTTTAGAATACCCAATACTTCCCCCACCTCCTTGTGCTGACTTGACCTAGAGCAATCAAACATCTATCCCTAACCACATTATCTGTCATGTCCCTCTCCTCAGTGAATACCGACGCGAAGTACTCATTAGAATCTCACTCATTTTCTCTGACTCCTGCATAACTCCCTCCTTTGTCCTTGAGTGGGCCAACCCTTTCTCTGGTTACCCTCTTGCTCCTTATGTACGAATAAAAGGCTTTGGGATTTTCCTTAACTCTGTTTGCTAAAGATATTTCATGACCCCATTTAGCCCTCTTAATTCCTCGTTTCAGATTGGTCCTACTTTCCCGATATTCTTCCAAAGCTTCATTTTCAGTCGCCTAGACCTTATGCATGCTTCCTTTTTCCTCTTTGCTAGTCTCACAATTTCGCCTGTCATCCATGGTTCCCTAATCTTGCCTTTTCTATCCCTCATTTTCGCAGGGACATGTCTGTCCTGCACTCTAATCAGCCTCTCTTTAAAAGCCTCCCACATATCAAATGTGGATTTACCCTCAAACTGCTGCTCCCAATCCACATTCCCCAGCTCCTGCCGAATTTTGCTATAGTTGGCCTTCCCCCAATTTAGCACTCTTCCTTTAGGACCACTCTCGTCTTTGTCCATTTAAAAATTACAGAATTGTGATCACTATTCCCAAAGTAATCCCCCACTGCAACTTCAACCACCTGGCCGGGCTCGTTCCCCAACACCAGGTCCAGTATGGCCCCTTCCCGAGTTGCTCTAGAAAACCCTCCTGGATGCTCCTTACAAATACTGCTCCATCTAAACCCCTAACACTAAATGAATCCCAGTCAATGTTGGGAAAGTTAAAATCTCCGATCACCACCACCCTGTTGCTCCTCCATCTTTCCAAATCTGTCTACATATTTGTGCCTCTATCTCACGCTCACTGTTGGGAGGCCTGTAGTACAGCCCCAACATTGTTACCACACCCTTCCTATTTCTGAGCTCTGCCCATATTGCCTCACTGCTCGAGTCCTCCACAGTGCCCTCCCTCAGCACAGCTGTGATATCCTCTTTGACCACGAATGCAACTCCTCCACCACTTTTACCTCTCTCTCTATCCCGCCTGAAGCATCTATAACCTGGGATATTTAGTTTCCAATCTTGCCCTTCCCTCAACCAAGTCTCAGTAATAGCAATAACATCATACTCCCAGGTACTAATCCAAGCCCTAAGTTCATCTGCCTTACCTACTACACTTTTCGCATTAAAACAAATGTACCTCAGACCACCTGTCCCTTTGCGTTCATCATCTGCTCTCTGCCTACTCTTCCCCTTCATCACACTGACTTCATTATCTAGTTCCTTATGGGCTTTAGTTACTACCTCCTTACTGTCCACTAACCTCCTCATTTGGTTTCCACGCCCCTGCTACATTAGTTTAAACCCTCCCCAACAGCATTAGCAAAAGCAGCCCCTAGGACATTTGTTCCAGTCCTGCCCAGGTGTTGACCGTCCAATTTGTAATAGTCCCACCTCCCCCAGGACCGGTCCCAATGTCCCAAAAATCTGAACCCCTCCCTCCTGCACCATTTCTCAAGCCACCCATTTATCCTGCCTATTCTTTCATTTCTATTCTGACTAGCACATGGCACTGGTAGCAGTCCTGAGATTACTACCTCTGAGGTCCTACTTTTTAACTTGGCTCCTAACTCCCTAAATTCTGCTTGTAGGACCTCATCCCCTTTTTTACCTATATGCACAACGACAGCTGGCTGTTCACCCTCCCCCTTCAGAATGTCCTGCAGTCGATCTGAGACGTCCCTGACCCGTGCACCTGGGAGGCAACATACCATTCGGGAGTCTCGTTTTCGACCACAGAACTGCCTATCTCGTCCCCTTACAATCGAACCCCCTATGACTATAGCCCTTCCACTCTTTTTTCCGCCCTTCTGTACAGCAGAGCCAGCCACGGTGCCATGAACCTTCCCCTGGTGAGCCATCTCCCCCAACAGTATCCAAAACGGTGTACCTGTTTTGGAGGGAGACGACCGCAGGGGACACCTGCACTGCCTTCCTGCTTTTTATCTGCCTTTTGGTCACCCACTCCCTTTCTCCCTCAGCAATCCTAATCTGCGGCGTGACCAATTTGCTGAATGTGCTATCCACGACTTCCTCAGCATCGTGAATGCTCCAAAGTGAGTCCATCCGCAGCTCCAGAGCCGTCATGCGGTCAAACAAGAGCTGCAGTTGGACACACTTCTTGCATGTGTAGGAGTCAGGGACATCAGCCACATCTCTGAGCTCCCACATTGAGCAAGAGGAGCATAACACGGGTCTGGGATCTCCTGCCATTCTGTGTGCCTTTAAGTCCTGGCTGAGGCAGCAAGGCACGAACAGGCAAGGCAAGGCAGGGATGCTGTGAGCATTCAGGCAAGGGCAAAGTGAGTATATTCTAAGAGAGCAAATAAGCAGCCCTGAGATGCACTCTGATCCAGTCTGTAAGATAGGTGCCTGTCCTGTGCGCAAAGTATCCTTGCAGCAGCATTGCATTTTAAAGTGCTGATGTGATCTAAAATATACCGCAGAAGTGCAGAACTGCACTGTAAGTAGACTGGAGGTGCATGACAATGATGTTACGGGACTGATATGTGTCAGATGCCAATGTCCGTGGGTAGGGGTGTGCGGAGCTGCTGCACATGGAGAATGTCCTAAGATGCTGTTACCGGGTATCCAAAGTGGAGGTCCAGTGGAGAAAATGGTCAAGTGGAGTCATTAGGTATCTGCTGTAACTTTTAAGTCAGGAACTCTCAATATCTACTTTCTATTTGGCAGGTGAGAGAATTGAAGACTGCATATTAATAAGGTAAGTTCAGGGAATAATGAGGTTGATAATGAGCAATAATCCACTCTATTTTTAGCTCTCCCACTTCATAGTGAAAATCATATCTCGAAGTCCAGAACTTAGATATCAAATGAGATTTCTTGGCCTCAACCTCAAAAACAGCCTTTCTCAAAATGTCACCCAATTTTCCCAAATATCTTGTTGCAACCCGTATTGTTCAGGGGCTGGGAAAGATTCCACTCAATATGTTCATAATTTATAGGTTATTGAACAATTTTGTGTCTAAATATCACTTACCTGGAAAAATATGGCTTTGGTATCAAGTCTCCAAAAGTTCGTAACTGGATATCCACTGTGACCTCGACAAGATATCAGTTCCAGTGCTGAGTTGCAGTTTGGACATACTCTTTCTGTAAAGTATAAAACTATACATTAGGATTTTTTGTAATAAAGGAATGCAAACTTGAGGGAACCACTACCTAATTCATGTATTTCACATTTTCTGATTTGCTGCTCCGAGTTAAGAGCACTAGCAGCATATGTCAAAGATTCAAAGTGTTATCCACTTCCACTGGATGAGGCTTTCCCCAAGAAGATTAATTTCCAAGATTATTTCCCCTGAAATTGAAATAAGAAAAGATAATGTAACTATTGTGGACTAAATCCCATAGTGATTCTACCTCTCCACCAAAAATAAAGATTTTAAACATTACAATCTTTCTGCCATTAATATTCAAATACAGCATGTTGCATGGCATATCAAGTGTCAAGCTTTTGTTTATTAGTAGCCCTGTCCCTGAGTCAGAAAATTACAGGCTCAATTTTCACTTCCAGACTGGACCATACAATCTAGATTGACACTCCATTACAGCAACAAGGGAGTGCTGCAATATTTTGTCAATGAGCCCCTA